CCCTGCAACAGATTTTGTTGCATTCTGTTGGCTGGGGCCTTGTATCAGAGTGTCCGAAGCTATCTTTTGCTGTTGGTGTAAAAACACCTTTGGAATCAGAGGCTGCCATCTTCAAAAGACTGCTGGGACTAAATCGCTAGCTGTTCAGGCCTGCCCACACAAACTCACCTGCCCCTTGCAATGACACGCCCTTGAGCATTGCGCATGCCCAGATCACGGGGAGAATGACATGCCCAGGCATGTCCCTGCTCACACAAACTCCCCTGCCCCTTGCTATGACACGCCCTTGAGCATTGCGCATGCCCAGATCACGGGGAGCATGACATGCCCAGGCATGTCCCTGCTCACACAGACTCCGCTGCCCCTTGCAATGACACGCCCTTGAGCATTGCGCATGCCCAGATCACGGGGAGCATGACATGCCCGGGCACATCCCAAACAAGGCCTACCCCTTCTTTTTTTTTACTAGCAGACAGACAGGCATGGCTGCTTGCTGCTTGCCTCTTGTGAGCCTGGTTGGCTGCTTGCCTCTTGTGAGCATTTTAATTCCTGTTAATATTCCTTGTCTTTTGCTATAGTGGGAAGGCGGGCAGAATAAATTTTATTCGGGGTACAAATGGCAAAATATGTGTGTTTAGATTTTTTACAAAGGTAAAAACCAGCTGTGGGTTTTAAAAGGGGCTGTGTTTGTTTGTTTTTCCCCCTGCATTCGAGGAAATGCTTTTAAAACCACCTAGACATAAATACCTTTTAGAAAAAAATATCTTTTAGAAAAAAGGGGTTAAATGCAGGCTCTGGCTGCCTTTCAGGGGCTTCTTTTTCCCCAGCTTTTGAGGCACTGATTTTTAAAACTCCACAAAAATTAAAAGCATCGTTAGGCTAGAATGATTAGAAATAAAAAGCCTTTTTTTATTTTTTATTTCACAGCTCCCCAAAGTAGGGCTTGTTTCCCAAAAACACAGGCCTCTGCTAATTATTCACTTAGCTCTTTTGGGTTTTGAATGTCCATAGAAATAGTCTAGGGTTAACAGCTCCCCAAAGTAGGGCTTGTTCCCCAAAAACACAGGCCTCTGCTAATTATTCACTTTACTTAGCTCTTTTTGGTTTTGAATGTCCATAGAATTAGTCTAGGGTTAACCTAATCATGTACCCAGAGGATTGACTGCCAATCTTGATGGGATTAGGCCAAAACGTCACATCCGGAGGGTGGGGGCTGAGCACGTCACTTCCTTTTAGGGCTGTGCCCTGTTGACGTAATCAGCACGTGGGTTTGTTTACTTTGATGACGTCACTGATCAAAAGTGCTGATAATTTTCATTAAAAAAAGGTATACACTACTTCTACTTACATATCTATATATTTATTTCATGCCTAGAGTAGAACATGTACGTAGGATTAACCATGAAGTATCATACACATATAGGTTTCGTATTCATTTAAAACAACTATTAAAAACAAGGAAAGTAAAAGCTACATTTCAATTAAAATGTGACAAACACTAGGAAAAAACTAGCCAACTTTTACCAAATCGAAAGAGCTAGCCTTAAAACAGTACCATCATCCCTACCACCAAAGTGATTACCAATATCATCTATACAGAAAAATCTATATTGCTTGGGAAAGAGAAAGACTAATCTTTCATGTCAGAAAAATTCTATTTCCAGTAAAAGGTGATCAATCTATGGTTCCTAAAAATAAATCTGAAAGTTTAGTCGAGAAGCACTCTCAAAGTGCTCTCAAAATCTCAAAGATTTTCAATATAACCCAACATAAGCAGACTTTGGCTAATAGACCAAGAAATTCCTAGAAAATGTGAACAATCATAATGTATTCCAGAAAAGGTCACAACATAGTACAAGAAGAGCTCATGGTAATTCAGTATGTGTAAAGGTTATTGAAACATTTTAGTCTACTAGGGAATCTTTTTTCTTTTAATACACCATTTTAGGATACTTAGAGAGAACTGTGAAAAATAACCAATAATAGTGACTTCTAAAACTAAAAAGGGTATATAATAAATACCTTTTGCAAAGAAAGAAAGTGTTTGAAAGTTCAAATGTAATGTAGCAATAAACGAATTATAATAGTAGAAAAGGCAAAGAAAAACAAAGACAGCTGAAATTATGCCACCTGAGGACATGGACAAATTGAATATATTCAGATGAATAAAACAACTTGTTTAAACAAGGTCAATCACTTGAAGTGCATTAATCTTTACTAATAACCTGGTTCATATAAATATGTATAGGGAGAAATATAGTAAGACTCAACTTGAGTCTGTATAGTTGTGAGAGTTTGGACCCTCAGGTCGTGGAAATGTTTAGTGTAACTTCTGTGTGACAGCTTATACCAGGTCATCTTGGATAAAAAAAAAACTGGAGTCATTTATATAAAAGATAAAGGCCTGGGAAAGTGGGAAAGAAGAGGACATCACTCTTACCTTCCTGTTTAATTACCTGCCCATCACGTGAGAGGACAGCTACACCTCTGGAAATTCAGTAGAACAGGAGGAAGACTTAGCTGAAAGGTAGCCCTGGAAAAGTGTGAGGGAGTTGGAAAGCGGAAATCACAGGAAGGGATTTAGCACATCTGTATTTATGTGTTTATGAAAGACAACTTGCTACAGCTAAGAACCAGATTTGGCCCCGTAAGACACACAGGTTTATCTGAGATACATGACAATGGTGACATGAAGTTTCATATATTGCTAAAGAGTTGGTTGTTGTCACAGGCCTTGAGTCAGAAAGCTTTGACCTTTGTTTCTGCTACCTGGTCTTTTTGGTTCTGCTTTCTTGTCAGTGATCTTCTTTTCTTGATATATTTTGTTCCCTTTTCATTTTTTAGTTATAAGTTGCTCAGAATCAATATGTATTTGAACAGCCTCGAAACAAGCTGACTGACTGACTGATTAAATGAATAAAGCTCTTATGTTGGAGCATCCATAGACTTTATTTTAGGCAGTACTCAATACTGAAAAGCATGAAAAGCTTTGTCTATTTACTAAAGGTGATAATGAAAATGAAAATGCTTTAGCTCTGAAGACAATCTAAGGCTTTTAATTGCATTACATGAGTAGTGCCTATAAAGAAAAGTTAAAAATTAAATTAAAAATGGTCATAAGATATAAGGGGAATTCAATCAAATAATGATGCCTATGGAGAATATTTTTTTAAAAAAAAGCTCCTCACCAGTGGCACAATTTGCCCCACAGTAAATTAACTCAAACATAAAGTTCCTGCTATTCTTTTCTGGTACAAATGTAGTGTTGTCAATGAACACCATTCTATGGTTTAGCAATTTCTAAGACATAGCAAACTCTCTCATTAATTAACTCTTTGGCTTCCAGCATATATCAATCTAAATACTTACTCGCTATTCATTATCTTGCAAATCTATAAATTAGCCATGTAAAAAAGACAGGAAAAAAGAGAGAAAATGGTTACTGGACAGGTCTGTTGCCCATATTTGCTGACAGGAAAAAGTTAAAGAAAATCTAATTTTATTATAGTTACTGACAATATTTTAATCAATTTAGTACTTCCTTCACATACCATAATCAACTTAGTCCTTCTATAGTTGACAAAAACACTCTAGTCTAAAACAAGAATTTAACGCCATCATTAAAGTTCACACTAACCAACTGCATACTCTTGGAGTTCAATATGCTATGCCACACACAATTTCTGAAAAAGAAATGCAAATTATATGTTTGTACACATTGTATATGGATAATGAAGCAAAAATTTCATACGTGGTATGGTAGAAGAAAAGCCATGTTAGTCTCTGGAGGTAGTAACTTTTTGGACAAAGTTCATTTAAAAGCATAAGCTTTCATAAGCTACAATTTACTTCATCTAATACTGAGTGACATACTGATTCAGGTTTTAAACTGGGGTAAGACAAGATGGAGGCAGGCTGATTATAAAGGTGGAAGTTGCATGTGAAACAGATTACAAGCATCTCATCAATTCACAATTGTAATGTGTTAGAAATGTACTATATTTCTTGAGACATTCTGAGATTGCCTGAAAATCTTTAATTCAGCAATTTTACTTTTTCCAAAACAGTGACTTTAAGATCTTTCATAGACTGCCTTATATTGTCCTTGTTTTGAAGTCTGATCTCAAATTTGGACTCAAAATTTGTAGCAAAAGTAAAGATGGTATGAATAAGGACTTTTGTGGCTAGATATTTCAATCATACCATGGAAGTGTTATTTCTATACATTACAATTACTATTATTATAGACAGAATGAATATGACATTTTCAATAATGAAATTTGGAAAACTGTTCAAAAATTATGAAGATATCTGCAAGTTTCCCATGGAACACAATGGCAACTTGAGATAATTTGGAGTAGGAAAATAGCATAAAATAGCATGAAACAGCATGGTTCAAAGAAAAATACTACTATTACTGTGTTTGATAAACTATGTTAATCTTAAACTGTACATCTTCAATTGTGCATCAAGAACCACTTTTATACAATCTCTGCATTTTGTTATCAACATTTAATATGAGATAAATTGAAATTGATATAAAATGAGAAACAAATTATAGTTTTATTAGCTAATAATGCTCAAATAATAGACAGAAATGGGCATGTACTTAAGAATAGAGAACCATGTAGAGCATTTTTGTGTGAAGTAATCTTTGAAATAATTTTCAGGTCTCAGGGATCTGTTGCATAAAATCTCACAAAATATGAAAACTGCACAGTTCAATTCATTTTTTAACTACACATCCCACATTTTACAGTGTTTACAATGGTTTTGTCAAAATTCCCACAATTTAAGTGCTAGCATGTATGTATGTAAGTATGTATGTATGTGTGTGTGTGTGTATGTATGTATTTATGTATTTATTTTCAAAACACTCCTAGCAACCTCTCTGAACCCAGTAGGTTTGTATAAAATTTCAATTGAGAAAGGCTGCTAGAGTTTATAGAGTGAAAGAGCATTATTTAAAAATGAAATTTAAGCACATTCTCTAAACTTACTGTTCCTGTTGTGCCCAAGGAAAGATGACTCATCTGTTGTGTCAAGGGGCCCATCATACTTGCTGGCTGCATGGACATTGTATGATCCATTGCTGGTGTTAACACAGCACCCTATAAATACACATAAATTATGCAAAGTCTAGAAAAGGAATAAGAAAAAGTTAGCCAAAGAAACCAGGACATGAACTAAAAGATAAATAAAAGGAAATTTAACTAAATCCAATTTAATCTTTCTCTAATACATTTCTCTATACATATCCTTGCAAACCATCATTTCACAGGCACAATTTCTATCATGTCTATATACTTCATACATGCTGTTTATTTTTTAGTTTCTCGATTCTCTTTTTTCTGAGAAGCTCATCAGTTCCATCTGACTATAACTTTTTTGATTTTGAGGAGTCCTAGGTGCTCTCTGAATTACTTATTTTCTTGCAGACATTTCATTACCCAAACTAGGTAACATCATCAGTGCTAGTAATGACATCATCAGTGTTTTTTTGATCTTCTACTTCCTCTTGGTTCTCCCTTCATATATTTGTGATTCACTCCTCAATCATTTTTTTATTTGATTTGTCTATATGATTTGTCCTAGTTACTCACTTTTGAGTTCAAGCATCCATTGTTTTTTACTGCACTCTTCTTTCACACATACTCTTAAATTACCAATTCCTATAGCATTCAACTTACTTTTATTTTTTTTTATAATAGATTTTATTAATTTTTTAACAAGCATACGTCACTCAATAATTGGTAAACAGCGTGTTGTCTGGGTTACATTTGTAAAGACACTCCTTAACAATTGATTTCTTTAGTCTGTATTCCATATACTAATTTTAGTTGATTTCCTCTTTTCCCAAAAGATCCTTTTTTTAAACATTGAACTAATACAATTCTTATTGTTTTAATAAATGACAATTAGGTATATACTTTTTCCAACATTCCTAAAAAAATAATCATCATATTAGTACATTTCTTTTCTTTCCAGTCGTTTGAATTGCCTTGTTACAATCCTTATTTTAGTTTATTTCTTCCACCAAATTCTAAATATTCTTACTGGTAAAGGTTTTCTCAACAATTAGTTATATTTATATTGACAGACTTAATTCTGTTTTTTCCATATAAACCATCTCACATTTTTATATTTTTTAAGTAATAGATAAAAGAGTAAAAAAAAAAAGAGGGGAAAAAAAGAGAAACAAAAAAGAAATAAAAAATAAAAAAGAAGAGAAAAAAAGCAGAAACAACGGGACATAAGAAATAACATACTACTTAGAATATATATCCCTCCTAGATTAATATGCATTTATTTTATCAATTTTTTATTCTTTTTAATCATAATTAAGAATATATTTACTCTTTAGACAATCCATTCAATAGATCTAGTCATCTAATCCCTTAACTCCGATTCAAAGCATTTATATATATATACTTTTCTTGAATTCAGTCACATTTAACTATCTAAAATATTTCATCCCTCTTAGAGCAGTGGTTCTCAACCTGTGGGTCGGGACCCCATTTGGGATCGAACGACCATTTCACAGGGGTCGCCAAACAACACAGTCCGCCATTTTTTCCCCTTTTCCTTAGCTGTGCTACTCCCTTTTATTCTATTGGCTTTTGAAAGCCAATAGAATAGACTCTCTTGAATAGAGTCTAATTCTATTGGCTTTCAAAAGCCAATAGGGGGACTTCCGGTGGATTTTGCGCACGCGATGGCGGCTACTTTGTAGCCGTCCTCCTGGGTAAGTGTAAGAACCGCTATGAACAGCAGACATCAGCTGTTCAGCGGTTCAAAACCCCCTCCCGGGCAAAGGGGGGGCAGAGAGTTGTCTGAATAGTGGTAGAGCCTCTTATGCACCCCCCAAGTTTTTCTTTTGGGGGGTGAAAAGAGTGCTCCCACGGAGTTCAGACTGTCTCCGCTTCCCAGCTGCTTTTGTCCTTAGGGACAAAACGAGCCGCTGCAAACACCTCCGTGATTAAAGAGAACTGGTGAGTTTTTTTTTATAAACGGACAGAGCTGAGTAGAGGATTTAGTTTTTGCTTTCTTTGATTTATTTGGATTTCAAGTTTCAAGATTTGTTTTTACTTTTATACTCCCTCTTTTTATTTTTTTTTTCTCTTTGTTGAAAGGGAAAGTAAAATGGCGATCGGTAAGCCTCTCAGTGTTTTTTTTTGGGGGGGGGGGGAAGCTAGAATGGTGACCGGCAGGCTTTTTGGTGTTTTTTTTTTCCCTTTCCTTTTTCCTTCTTTGTTTTTTTATGATTGGAATGGAGTGTTAGTATTATTATTTTTGTTTAGTTTTTGTGGTTTGTATTTTGTATTTTTTGGTACTTTTTAAAAAATGGAACGGATTTTTTCTATTCAATTATTTTTTTTCTTCTCCTCCTTTTTTCTTTTTTTTTCTGAACCCCTTTCTTTTTAATAATGATCCCTTTTGAAGGATTTTTTTTTTTTGAATTTAGGGAGTTAATTTCATATTTTTTTAAAAAATTTTTTTGCTTAATTCTTGTAATTTTTAAGAAGGAGTAAAGTTTTTTTAAGATGGCTCCAAAGCGTCCAGTAATCTCTACAGCTTCCAAGGTGGCTTCTTCTTCGGTGTTATCATCAGGGCAACAACCTAAATTAATAGCTTCACCTTCTTCCCTGCCACAGTCAATAATGGTGAAGGACTTGCAAGATATGATGGGAGATGTTATACTTCAAATTAGGGGAGAAATGAAAGAGATTTTAGAGGAAAATAACAAGACTTTGAGGCAAGAGATAGTTTTAACTTTAAAAGGAGTTGCCTCTGTTCTTGAAAAGTTGAACTCTCGTGTAGAAGAAGTAGTAGAGAAAGTGGAATTGATGGAGGAAAAATTTGAAAGTATGGAAAAAGAGATAAAAAACTTTCAGGATGAGGTTCTTATGCTTCAGTATAAACAAATGGAATATGCTTTAAGAATCAGAGGTTTACATGAGTCTGTGCAAGGAGATTTGAGAGAGATGGTGGCAAAGGACTTTGCTCTGATTCTGAATAGAGAAGAAGAGGAAATACTTAGTGGAATTGATCAGACATTTAGAGTTAACTCTGTGGTGGCAGAGCAAAAGAACTTGCCAAGAGATGTGGTAATTTACTTTGGGAAAAGATCCTTGCGCAATGAAATTATACAAGCTTTTTATAAGAAGAGGTTTCAAATTGCTTCACAAGATGTTATAATTTTAAAGGAGATCCCACCAAAAAATTTAAGAAGAAGAAAGGAGTTTGCTTTTTTAGCAGACGAACTTAAAAAGAGACAAATTTTGTTTAGATGGGATGTTCCGACTGGAATGGTGGTGAGCTACCTGGGGATACGTTATAGTCTTAATACTGTTTTTAAAGCAAAAGATTTTTATACTTCGGTCCTGGGGGTAAGCTCATCGTCACCTATTATGTTAAAGCTTTGGAAGAAAAAAAGGCAGAATTGCAGCCAGAAGTGCTTAGAATTATGAAAATTGGGAAACTTCAGTTTGAGGGGCCTCAACAAGCAGAGTTGGAGGAGCAGAAGACAACCTGTGCAACATATAATTGTAAAGACAAGGGTCAACAGAAGAAGTTTAAGGAAGTTCCACAAGTATTGGTTCCTGAATTTGCGGGAGAAGTAGGATTTATAAATTCTTTGGAGCAACCTTTAATGCCAGAACTGCAGTCTGAAGAGCCTATATTAATTAAAAATGGGAGGCCTCAACAAGTAGAGATGGAGGAGCAGAAGATAACCTGTGCAACATACAACTGTAAAGATAAGGATCAACAGAAGAAGCTCAAGGAAGTTCTACAAGAGATGAAAGACCAGAAGACAACTTGTCCAACATATAAACGTATAGAAAAGGCGGTTGAGGAAGCTTCACAGGTATTGGTTCCTGAGACTTGTGCAACATATAAATGTAAAGAAAAAGTAACATATAAACGTAAAGAGAAAGACCAACAGAAGGAGGTTGAGGAAGTTTCACAGGTATTGATTCCTGAGCTTGTGGGAGAACCAGGACTTACAAATTTTTTGGAGCGATCTTCAAGGGCAGATTTTAATGCATTTCTTTCATTGCTTATGGGCAAGAGAGACTGATAAGGATTGTGTTTATAGTGGACGCAACCGGCTATTGGACAGACGATTATGGATACTGAATGAAAATTTTAGATAAGAAGTTTGTGTTTACAGTGGACGCAATTGGCTACTGGATAGAAGTATGGAGACTGAATGAAAATTTTAGATAAGAAGTTTAAGTTTAAGTATTTTGTTTAAGATTATTGAGATTGTGGGAGAAGTAAAATTTATAATGTTTTTGGAAAATGTCTTAAGTAATGTTTATATATGTGTTTTGGGATAATAATATAAGTATGATATGAAAAGGTTTAGAGTATATTATAAAATGATGGATAATAATATAAATGATATGAAAAGGGTTTAGAGTATACTATAGTTTGTTTAAAGATTGGTTTCTTTTATTATTATTATTATTATTATTATTATTATTTTTAAGAGAAGTTAAATTGTTTAATTAAATTTTAGATAAGAAGTTTAAATATTATTATTAATATTTTTAAGAGAAAATAATTTGTTTAACTAAATGTATCTAGATATGTTTAGGATTTATATGTTTTTTAAGTTTTTCTTTTGATAGGAGAGAAGATTATGAAGATTGAAGGAAATACGTATTTACTTTAAGTATTCAAAGAGTATTTAGTTTTAATGGCATAACAAAGGTTTATATGTTTATTTCTCTGTTCTAGGATAAAGAAAGAGGGAGAGATTAGATTTTATATTATAGGTATAGATATTCAAAGAAAGTAATGTTTAAATTTGTGTTTTGGAGGGAGTTTATATAGAATGATGATTGTATTTAGATTTGTTTAGGATTTATAAGTGCTTTAAGTTTTTTTTTAATTAAGCCTGTACTCAGCTCTGGGAAGCCCAGGGGAGGGTTTGGGAGGTTTGGGGAGGGGGGAGGGTAAGGAAGGGTTGGGGGGTATGGGGAGGGGATTTGTTTTTGTAAAATTTAAAAAACTTTCAATAAAAAAAAAAGCCAATAGGAATTGTCCAGGTTGTCTCTGCCCTGCTGAGCCCGCCAAAAGTTCCATTCTGCAAATGGTGCTG